AAGATGCGTCTGTTGCCAAAATAAGGGGTAACTGGTCATCGAAATGAATTAGCAAAGGTGCTGTACTCAATTGGTGCTTAAGAGCTAGAAACGCTTTTTCTTGCTTCTCTCCCCACCGAAATTTTTCGCCTTGCCTACGTAGCTGGTTAAGCGGAGCAGCCTTATCTGCAAAATTCGATATAAATTTATTGTAATAATTAATTTTACCCAGGAATGCTTGAAGTTCCTTCAAATTTTTAGGCCGCGGCATTTCACTTATAGCTGAAACCTTAGCTGGAGATGGCGTGCAACCCGCTGCATCCAACACAAATCCGACATATTCAACTCGACGCTGCATAAAAGTGCACTTGGATTTGCGGCATTTTAACCCAGATGCTTGCAGTCGCTCGAATACTGATTGCAAATTTTCCAATAACTCTTGTATTGACTTACCAGCTACTAATATATCGTCAAGATAATTAATACACATCGGAATACCTTCAATGACTTGTTCCAATAGCTTCTGAAAAAGGGCCGGAGCGCTGGCCACTCCCATCGGCAGGCGTTGATACTGGAACAAGCCCAATGGGGTATTAACAACCATTAGCTGTTTCGCTTCTTCGGTCAGACCCACTTGCAAGTATGCGTCTGAAAGGTCAATTTTGGCGAAGATTGTGCCTCCTCTTAGCTTGCGGCACAGTTCTTCAATGCGGGGTATTGGGTAGTGATCTACCTCGAGCTGTGCGTTCACAGCTTTAAAGTCACCGCATATCCGCAAACGCCCGTCTTTTTTTTGAACCACTACGATGGGTGCTGCCCATTTGCTGAACGTAATTGGTTTCCATATCCCGCAGTCCGTTAGACGCTGTGCCTCTAATTTGAAGTCCTTCAATTGCGCGAAAGGTATAGGGCGAGATTTGAAATACTTAGGTGTCGCATCATGTTTTAACCGTAACTCAGCTTTTGAAATTGTGCAATAACCCAACGTGCCTTCAAACACATCTGCAAATTTTTTCAAAAGCCCTTCGATATTTTCGTTAGGATCCGTCGTAACGGCGTTTACGTGATGTGCTTGGCAGGCGCATAATCCCAATTCTTCTAGCAAATCCGTTCCAAGGATTTCACTATTTTGCTGAACATTAGCTACAAAAAGTTTCACTAGCCGTTTAATTTGCCCATGATGAATAGTGACATCAATAGTTCCCAAAATGCTTACAGCACTTCCCCCATACGCGATTAGCTTACCAGTTGGATAGGGCGTAAGACTTGGCTTTCCAATTTCATTATATACATCTAAGCCAATCACGGAGCAAGTGGCGCCGGTATCCATCTGAAACTTGACTGGTACTTCATTCACCCCTATTTCAATCAGATATTTGTTTCCTACTTTGTTTGGCACGGTGCTCGTAATTGAAGCAACAAAGTTGATCGTTGACACACTTCGCTGAGCGTTATTGTTGTTAGTCTGCGGTTGCTTCTCCTTTTTATTATTTTTATTGTCGGTAATTGCACTTTGTGCTTTACAAACTGGTGCGATATGGCCGAAACGATTGCACTTTCGGTATTGTGCATTACGAAATTTGCATTGGCTTCTGGAGTGGTGCTTCCCGCACCCAGAGCAGGATTGAAAACAGTTACTCTTGCTTGCGCTTGGCTTAAGCTTTTTTTCAGCTTGGTGCTGTTTCAGCTGAAATACTTCGCTGCGTTCTGCTGTGCTAGATGACATCCGCTTTTTCATGGCCTGTGTTGTTTCATAGCTTTCGGCTATAGCTGTAACATCTGCGAGTGCCGGATTAGGCTTTTGTAGTGCTGCAGTGCGTACCGGTTCATGTGGCGAATTCAAAACTAAGATGTCTCGAAGCAGGTCATCTATAAATGACGTTTTGCAAGTATTGTTACTACACACGAACCTGCAATTCCGCGCTATGCCCCGCAGTTCAGCAACCCATTCTGAATACTTTTGTTCTGGTTTCATTTTCGATGACAGAAATTCGTATCTTGAGGCCAGTATGTGAACATTTTCCTTGTAGTGCGTTGACAACTTTTCTTTAGTGCTTTCGTATGTCTGCGTTTGTATGTCTTCTGTGCCGAAAAGTTTGGATAGCAGCTCAAAACAGTCGGCTCCTACCCACGAGAGGAAAAATGCTCGTTTCTGTTCCTGCTTCGTGACTGAATACGCTTCGAAATGCTGGGTTAATTGTGCGATGTACGAGTCAAAACTTTGCTTTGTATGCACATACGGTGGAAAGGCTGGCACGGATATATTTGTTGAGGTTATGGTCGGCTCACGAGGATTTTCTTGCATTTTAGCAAGATTTGTTTTTTGCTCTTCCAATTGTGCAATCATCCATGCTCTATTTGTACTCAATACGTCCACTAAAAAGTCCTGCTGTTGCTTTAGCAGTCTCCCGATAGTTTCTTCCATGGTAATGCAGCTTTTTACCTTTTTGCCTTTTTACGCTTCAATCGAACGCCTCGGGTAGTTTATTACGATTCCGTGAACTCACTGACTTTACCTCGTCGCCAGTTATTTGTTGTAACTTCAAGTATTTATTAATCTAATTTGTTAACAATATTCAGTAATTTTAAGTAAGAACACGTGATAGCGGAAATCGTAATATAAGCGAAGTGGTCTATAGTTTGCAAACGTCAACTTGCGAAGGATCTTAAGAAACAGTGTTGCATTAGATGCGTTATTCAGTTCTTAGGAACAGTGTTGCATTCAGATGCATAAAAAAAAAAGAAAAAATGGCCAGGTTTGTATTTACACGCTATGATTGTACAAAAAAAAATTACCGCCAGTTTTTATAAATGGCAATTATTAAACAAAAAAAACACAAAAGACCGGCGGCTAATATATTTTTTGAATCAACGGGAATTTTTAGCTGCACATTGTTGGTTGGTTGTTGTAAATTCTATGGGCTAGAGAACTGGATACGGAAAATGGTTCTAAAAATTCAGAGTAAAAAGTTCGGAATTTAGACGAAATGTTTTTGAATTTTTCTCAGTGTTGTTATGGCATGAGTCCCTGATTTTTATGGGTTTGGTTAAAGCGCAAACATCATTCTTATACAAAAAAAAGTAGAAAAAAAATGTTTACTTTAAAACATTGTGAATATTAAAACAAATACCAAGCGCTCTTTTGAGTCACAGTATTAGCTTATAATATCCCAGTTGAAGTTTTTTTTAATGATGAAGTTTCTTTGTTGCCTTTAGTTTCATCATTTTCGCTTTTAGTTTAAGAAAACCGAGAATATGCCATTAATATGATCCCAAATACCATATTATTAGTTAAATAAAAAGTTCCTTAATAAAAAATTTAAATGTTTATTGAAATAACTTAAAAAATAAAGCTAAACTAAAGTTTTTATTAAAATAACTAAAAAAAAGCTATTGGTAGATATTTTCCGGATTTGGTAGTTGCTTCCAAGTGTTTGGTAAATATTTTTCTTCGTCAGTGGCAACCCTGATCTGGGCCTTTTTCGATGTTAATGGTAATAAGCTTCACTTTTCTCTTGGTAAATATGCTTCGGTCTTGCAGGCTGAGGTATATGCAATCCTCACAGCCATGGACTACGTGGTGGAAAATAGGTGGAGGAGGGCAAGGAGTTTACGTGTCTGCAGGGACAGCCAAGCTGCACTTAAGGTATTGGCCAGCCCTCTAACTAAATACTTTCAGACTGTTTCGGAAATGCAAGTCTCTATTAAATTATGTTGATAAACATAAGGAGCTTGCTTTACTCTGGGTGCCAGGTCACTCGGGAGTACCTGGTAATGAGACATCTGACCATTTGGCCACAGTTGGCTTAGACCAGGCCGGTGGTCGAAAAGTAGGCACAATAGTGCCATTTTTGGCACTTTCATTCTAAGTGGCACCTTTGGCACAATTCATCCTGTTTAGTCACAAAATTTTAAGATATAGAAATTTTGCATAAAATGCCAATATATAACAAAAAATTACATTCCACTTTATAGATTAAAAAATTACAAAAAGTGAAAAACTAAAAGCACTAAAAAATTAAAATAAGGGCCGTTAGAAATATTTACAAACCGCTGAATTCTATTGTGAATACGCAGTACGAAAAGAAAGTTTTCGCAACAACAAGCTTTTAATTCACTATACCCGTCAGTGTGGACTTTAACCCGAACTAAACCTCCTCCCGTCCAAGTACCGAACCCCCCGGTACCACCGTCAAGTATTTGCTCGGGAGGCGGTTGAGCACTAGGCACACACGTTCGTTCCAGTCCGTTGTACTCAGTCCTGGGCTGCACGTAGTAGGCTTTGCCACGTCTTGTTTACAGATAAAGACCTTATTTTAAAATTTGTTTAACTATATTCGCATATATGTATGTACATTAGGGCGGTCCAAAAATGCATGTGAAAAAAAAAGTCGGAATTTGTATGCTCTCACCCCCAGGATTGTTCTATACCGAAAAAATATACCCTTATTTTTTATTTTGAGATCAAAAAATATTTAGAGGTCGCTCAAAGCGCCCAAAGTTTTCCATATATTTTATATGGGGAAAAAACAACTTTTCGTAGAAATGCACATTAGGTCAAATTATTACTTTTTCTGTGCGAAATTAATAGCAGCTAAAATATTGCATTATTTTAATGTAAAAAGATGGCAAACGTTAAAACAAGTGTAAAGGCAGTAAATAAAATGTTAAACAGACTTGGCTTTCGTAAAACAGACTTTACTGCTTTTTTGTATGTTCAAATGGTGACTATATATGTTTAGGTAGTACTCAAAAACATTGTCCAATTAGCTTGGTTTTGACACAAGTTATTTTCTTACCATACTCAACCCCCTCCCCTTTAAAATGAGCTACATAATAAAATAAGTATGGTCACATGTACATGTATGTTGCTTCTAGCGATTAGTTATGGCATAATCGAAATTCCTAAATTAAAAAAAGAAAAATATTTACTACATGTCACGCAGATATGTCTTGAGGAGAGATTCCTAAAGCAGTTAGTCTTCATAAAACACTTCATTTTCACTTGAGGTTTCAGTATTTCCAAATTCTCCACCGATATTATTTATATTCAGAATACAAATGCTGCTTTGCGAGACATTTACCAAAAATCGCTGGAAACTTCCTGAAAAGAATAGGAATGTTTATGAAACTAATTTGTTAAAATAATGTTCAAAGCTCTTTTCACTTTGAGTAAAAAAAATCGAAATTTCAGTCCGTGAGTTCTCTCAAGGATTTGCCTTTTTGTGAAGGCGCTAGTGTGTTTGTAAAATAGCCTCGGCTACGCTACAGCAGATGAAAAGTAATGCAAATTGAGGCTGTAATTTTTTTTGCTATCACATACTTCCATTTTCACTATTTATACCATCAAAATGGATTATATATCACCAAAAAATGTTGGAGATATTTTTGGAGATAGCTAAAAATTCGGAAAAAGGTTGGCTATCCTATTTTAGCACTTTAGCGATAGCGAAAGTTAGAATCCGGCTGATGGTCGACACAGTTGGCTATTTGATTTAGAAAAGAACCTTATCAGCAAGAAACGCTACGTTTTCAGATCTAAATATTTTAGCATCCTTTCCAAATTGTTTCCCATAATTTTCATATTTATTTGATAAATAATTGCAAAAAATATGCGTTTTTTCTTCTAAGAGTTTCATGGAACTTTCGCAAATATCAGCAGCACTAAATTAATTTTCAACATGGTTGACAACCTGAAAAATGCTTTTCTTTTTTCGAACATCCAATCAGCCAAACTTCAAACACCTTGCCTTTTGTGATAGCATGATAGCCCAGAAAAAAACGTTTTTCTTGAAAACGGCAAGTTAAGTAAAATAAATTGAACTCATTACATCTTAATTTATCCATTTCCGATTCTACTTTGTTTGCCGAAAGTTAACAAAATTGTAAAAGCTTACATAAAATCATAAATGGAAATAAATCAGAAAATTTTTGATGTTATGCAAATAAGTCAGTGTTTTTGCAAACAAATGATAAAAAGTCACTTTTTTAAATTGGGACATAGGTTCTCACTTAGATATAAGGTTTGTATAGTAACTTCTCCAGTAAAACATTGCAGCCAGAGCGTAAAAGCAAAATAGAGCGTAAAATTGACAAGAAGAGAAAACTAGCAGAAAAAGTTACTGAACGCAAAACTAGTAAAAACTTGCAAGTGAATAGTTGTTGCACCCTTTTGATATTCTGCTGTAAACATTTTACTATTTATAAATCAGTTTTAAAATCTTTGCTTTTCACACAAGCACTTACACAGTCTAGTACATCATTAACATTTTGATTTCCACTCATTTTACTTTTGTTTGTGTTGGGAACTCCTGCCTTTGACATAATTTCAATTTCATGCATTTCAATTTCATGTACTTCATTTTTGTATTTTATTTTTAATGTATTCCATTTCGATGTTCTCATTTATTTTCAAATACCTTTCATACATACATATGTTACTCTCATTATTTAGAGATACATATGTACACATATGTGTTACTAGTGCCCTATGTATCCCATGTATTTAATTTGCCGCTAACTCTTTGCATGCACGTATGTACATATGTACATGTCCGCGGAATAGGTACGGTCAATGCAGTATTGCCTTTTTCGTCTTGTTTTTCTGTTCGTATGCATATGTACATGCATGTAGGCAAAGCATTGGAGTTGTTTGTCGCGGAGTTGTGCCTTGTAAATATGTATGTACAAATTAATGTTAGGTTTTTTGTGTACATACATATTTACAAGGCACAACTCCGCGACAAACAACTCCAATGCTTTGCCTACATGCATGTACATATGCATACGAACAGAAAAACAAGACGAAAAAGGCAATACTGCATTGACCGTACCTATTCCGCGGACATGTACATATGTACATACGTGCATGCAAAGAGTTAGTGGCAAATAAAATACATGGGATACATAGGGCACTAGTAACACATATGTGTACATATGTATCTCTAAATAATGAGAGTAACATATGTATGTATGAAAGGTATTTGAAAATAAATGAGAACATCGAAATTGAATACATTAAAAATAAAATACAAAAATGAAGTACATGAAATTGAAATGCATGAAATTGAAATTATGTCAAAGGCAGGAGTTCCCAACATCCCCACCCCCGTGAATCAGCCCGATTCACTACCTTCGACGTCCAGAACAGCCAATTTGGAGACGGCGCGTCGCTTCAATCCACCGGAAGTGCGTACGTCCACTCGTCTGACCACACCATCTGCTCCCGTATACAAGCGTTCCACCTTACCTCGGCACCAGTCCCGGCGAGATACATTGGGATCGCATATGAAGACGATCGCAATCGAATACTTCACTGAAGCGCTTTGCTTCCATGTCAGCACCGACGAAGTTCTTCCCATTATCGGACCTGATGCGTACGGGAACGCCGCGACGATTTATAAAGTTCCGCATTGCGACTATACATGAGTCAGTGCTGAGGTCATGGGCCAACTCCAAATGCACAGCCCTGACGGTCAGGCACGTGAATAACGCCACCCATCTTTATTCGTTGGCGCGACGAACAGTTACTGTTATCGGTCCAAAGTAATCAAGGCCCATATAGCTGAACGGCCTGGTATGGGGAGTTAGCCTATCAATCGGAAGCGGACCCATCAATGGTGGCACGGCGTGGATTTTCTTTAGGCGGCATACGGCGCATTTGGCGACTACACTGCGCAGCAAACTTCTGAGGCGTGGTACCCAGTAACAGCGACGTATCTCGCAAATAGTGGCTTCTAGATTTTGATGATGCATTTTGATGTGGTAGTGCATGGTGACCAGAGTTGTAAAATCATGCTTTGGCGGCAGTATGATTGGGCGCCTCGAGCATATTGGGAGCCAGCTGGCAGCATCTATGCATCCTCGTACACGAAGAACACCGTCTTCATCAATATAAGGCGAAAGTTGAATAAGCGAACTGGTGCGTGGTAGGTCCTGGCCGCTTTCGATCTGCTGAAACTCCTCGGCGTATTCACCACGCTGAACAAGACGGCACAAACAAAGCTTAGCAGTCTCGACTTCTTTGGCTGTCAGCCCATAGCATCGTTCTGGTGGATTACGGCGGCGGCAAATGTCAATGAATCTCAGGACCCATGCTGTCGTCCTCACCAGTTTGCTGAATGAAGAGAATCGGTTATAATCTAAAAATGTACAACTTACGATCGCAAGGGCGAATTTAGGGCGAAGTTCCTTGTCCGCTTCCTCATGATGATTGCATGTGAAGCCCTCTGACGGCCAAGCCTGCTCTTCTCGTAACAAGAATGGTGGGCCGCAGGTCCAACGTGCAGATGAGCTGAAGTCGATAAAGTTATTAGCTCGAGTGGCCTCATCGGCGACATTGTCCTGGGTAGGTAGCCATCTCCAATTTGCGGTAGTAGTTGGGGCTAATATCTCGGCGATCCGATGCTGCACAAATGGCTTATAGCGCCGATGTTCGCTGCGAAGCCACTGGATTACCGTTTTGGAGTCACTCCAAATGATGCAGTCATCAATGTCCAAGGAGTGTTCCTCCCGGACGCAGCTCATTAAACGCGTACCCAGCACGGCTGCCTGAAGCTCCAATCGAGGCACCGTCAAAGAGTTCATCGGCGCGCATTTGGTTTTTGCGGAGATAAATGCGACTTCCACCTCACCGACGGCATTGGTTGACCTCCAGTAGGCCACCGCAGCAAAGGCATCCTCGCTACCGTCGACGAAGACATGGAGCTGCAGAGCTTTAGGTTTGCCGTTTAGAAAATAGTACCGAGGAACGACATATTCGGCGACCGTTGAAAGTTGCTTACGCCAGCATTCCCATGCGGCGTTTACGTTGTTTGGCAATGGTTCGTCCCACCGGATGTCATGCTTCCACACCTCCCGCATGAGTATCTTAGCACTCACTACAAAATTGCTCAGAAATCCCAGCGGGTCGAAGATGGACATGACCACGCTGAGGAGTTCACGCTTTGTCGGACGGCGCATTCCGTTCAATACGCTGGATTCTACGTTGTTGAACTTCAGTTTAAATCCAAAGGTGTCGGTCGATGCCTGCCAAAACAAACCGAGAACTCTTTCCACCAGTACTCCTTCCTTTTTGGCTATTTGACGGGTAGCTCCGTCGCCACCAAGGGCTTCTGTCACTCTTGACGAGTTCGACGCGAAATTGCAAAGATCGAAACCGGCCATCTTGTGTATTGCTCGAACTTGTTTCGTGATGTCAGCTGCTTCTTCTTCTGTGTCGAAGCTATCGACATAGTCATCGACATAATGGTAGTCCAGTATCGATTTCACGGCTCGGACAGCACCACTGACTTTTTTGCGATACTCTAACGCGTTGATCTTCTTCACATAGTTGGCGGCGCAAGGCGAACATGCTGCTCCAAAGGTCATTACGCGCATCTCATACACTTCGGGCTGTCTGGTGGTATCACCATTGCGCCAAAGAAATCGTTGCGCACGTCTATCGTCACGTTGAACCAGCACCTGGTGGAACATCTCTTTGATGTCACCACACACGCCTATTGCTCCTTCACGAAAGTGAAATAGTATAGCAGGCAAAGACCGATATTCCTAGGGACCCTTCATGAGCTGTGCATTGAGGGACACACCGTCCACCTCAGCAGCCGCGTCGAACACCATACGTCACTTGCCTGCCTTGTTGGGATTGCTGACGGCGAAGTGAGGCAAGTACCATGTCCTATCGTTAGTTAAAGCGGCTTCTTCTGGCGACAGCTTTCTTGCGTAGTTCTTCGCGACGTAGGAATTCATGATGCGCTTATATTCAGCGGCAAAGTTTGTATCGCGCCTCATTTTTGCTTCAATACCCGCTAATCTCCTCAAGGCCATAGCATAGCTCGCAGGTAGCTGTATGTCGGGACGCTTCCAGAGCAGACCAGTCTGATATCTTCCTTCAACACGGCACGTAGTGGACCTCAAGATTTCGCGAGCACGGATATCAGCTTCACTCTCGATGGCAGGCGCAGCTCGAACCCCAAAGCTTTCCGTCTCGAAATATTCGGCAGTTAACGAATAAACATGATGGCAATGTCGGATAAGAGTTGGTTGTTGGTCCAAACACAACCCATCCCAACTCAGTATTCGCGGCAAACGGCCCACACTTGTTTAGCTGCATTGTGGTTGACGGCAAACCAAGGTGGCAGTGGTCGAGTCCGATTAACAGCTTTGGCTTGACTTGCGCGTATGGCTGAACTGCCAGCTTATTTAAATGTTTTTCATGGCAACGCAAATCGGCTTTACTCAGGCTCTGAGAAGGTAGCTGCAGGTTTGAAACACCATAAACCCTTCGTAGTTTATGTCTCTTTTGCATATTGGCACCACTCACTAGTAAGTCTACCACCACGGCTGGCTCTTGGGTGGCACGTCCTCCGAACCACTGTAGGTTTAAGCGTTCAGTCCGGCCACGTAACCCGAGCTCTTCAATTAGTGCGTTGTCAAGCATTGTTATTGACGAACCTTCATCAAAAAGGGCGTACGTCTCAACGCGCTTCTGGTTCCCATACAGCACGACCGGCAGAATCCGAAATAACAACTTGCTATCGGCAACGTTTGCACTGCAACTAAGGACTGCTACACCCGTATCGCCTTGCGACTGAATACGCGACGCTGGCTGCGTCTGCGTGCTAATCGTTTTACGTGGATCGGCAATGGAAACACGTCTGTTGCGATCTCGAGGTGGCAATGACTGGTTTGATGACCCGTCGATAGTTTTTTCAATTTCGTGCAACAATTTATGATGAAACCGTTTGCACCCGTCGGTGGCACATGGTTTGCGCCTTTGGCAATTGCGCGACCCATGTCCAGCGTTGAGACATGAGAAACAGAGATGGCGTCGCTTCACTTCTTCCCACCTCTTCGGCACTGTAAGTTGGCTGAACTGGCTACAGTCGGCTGGCTTATGTTGGCCCTGACAAATAGGGCAAGTTGGATGGCGTTGAGATTCGGCAGCGTGCAGCACAACCCGGCGCTTCGAGTCTCTCGCTGTTTCCCCGTCGTAAACCGTGCAGATGACATTGGCAAGTTTAGTAAGCCAATCGCTGAAATGCTGAACCGTTGCATAAGGCTGCAAAGACGATGCAAAAACTGCCCATTCGATACGCTTGCTCATGGGTAACTTTCCAACGAGCTCATCAAGAAGCGTTGGATTCGCTAAATGCTGCTCTCCCTCACACGCAGAACGTAAAAATGCACAAATGTTCGCAATCTTCGTCGCAAATGGTATCAACTTTACCACTGAGCTTTCCGATATCGGAGCAATTTCTCGAACATGGGCTAGCTGGCTTCGAATTAATTGTTCCGGGCGACCGTATCGGAACCTAAGTTGCTCGATGATATTGCCCACATTGTTCGGGTGGATAAGCAGCGATTTAATAGCCTCTCGGGCCTCACCCCTTAAGCTCTTCTGCAGGCGTAAGTTGTTTTCAAAACAGCTGTACCCATAGACAGCGGTTGACTCGGTGTAAGCAGTAAAAAATATCGGCCAGTCCTCCGGCTTCCCACTAAACTCCGGCAAATCTTGCAATTTTCTTGGCTGAGTTGAAAACTGCGCAGATACGGAGCCTACGTTAGCAGGAATTGGCACCGTTGACGAAAGACTGTTAAGAAACGCGTCGTGCGGAGGTAAAGTCGAGCTGGGGTACATACCATTTGCTGTTGTTACAGCTGAACCATTTGTTGAAGATGTGTAAATGGGCGGCGAGACACGAGTGGCGGTATACGTCGGGCAACGTGTAGCGTTATGAGGTGGCAACAGCGGCTGCACAGCATCTACATTGGTAGCAGCACTCGTTACGATCGGCGATTGCGGATGAAGAAGCTGGAACTGTGTCATTGGCAGGCTCGATGACGGCAAGGCAGATTCGTTGGCGGAACTGTCGCTGGGTGCACTGGATATGCTTTGCGCATCTGCGCGTTGGGCTTCGTTTGCTAACTCGTGTTCTCTTATTTTCTGTTGGGCAACCTTCAGACTGCGTTCAAGCGTGGCGATGCGTTTCTGCATAGCCTGAAACATCGCTTCCTGGCGGGCGGCAGATGAGGCACGAGCTTCGGGAGTGTTTGGCAAATCAATGATGTCGGCAGCAGTGCCGGAATCCGATACTAACTTCGACGGGTCGGCCACTGAGGCAGATGTAGTGGCTTTAGAAACTGATGAACGCATAGTCATATCATGGACGTCGGCACGAAGACTTACGCATGCAATGCGGCTAATTGCAAGATTAAACAAAGCGGCAGGTTCTTTATGAACGGCAAATAAAAATATGAAATGTATGCGAGTTGCAAATAAACTCCTTAATTCAGTGTATAAAATACGGCTAAATTATTCGCCTGGCTGGCAAATGCGAAATTCGACTTTTCAGTCCCACATACAAATAATTCCAATAAGAATAGTTACAGTTCTTGTTCGTTTGCGGCGGCAAGTGCAAAAATGTACGTATGTGTATAGGCGATGACTGAGGAACGTCCAGAACTTTCCATAAACGGCAATCAGTCAGTGAAATAAATTATGTATTTCACTGCGAAATAAAGGAATTGTCGTCAACCC